TTATTTGTAAAAATAAAGGTGGCTTATGAATGAATGAATATTTTGTTTTACTTCAGGTACAGTGGACAAAACCTGAGACTGCTCCGAAGCCCACATCTGGCACAGGACCGTTGGAAGGGTGTTCAGGTAAAACACGCCTTTTCTTTCAATCTTTATAATCATGATAGCATCACTATAGTGAAATCAACCAGTTTAAATGCAACCCCGAGGCCAATATTTGGGGGTTATCACTACAGGCCTTTCTGGGACGTTGGCCAATCCGGCATACTCTTCCTAGATTCATAGATGTTGTGAACATTGATTGTAAGTAAAAACAATTACTCTTATGAGACCTCTGAAGTTACCACTTTCCATAACTTGGTTGTGACCCACAACATCAAAAAGTGCTACTGACCTTTTCCCGGAACTGCTGGCACCTCCATAAACTACGGAAAGGTTTTCAAAAAACCCCGAAGCATTACAGATAAAACAATTACTTCAAATTAGTGAGATGTAAACATCGTGCAGATTCTGTTTCGTGAAGTATGTCTTTGGCTCAGGAGCCTGTTTATAATCTTAGAATTATATAGCTTAGATACAAGCCAAGGATTGAGTTTTGGAATAACCCGTTTACTTTGGGAACATTCATTTCATATATAATAAGAAATACAGAGCAAGCTTTTGAATCATGCAGTATTTAAAATTTGGCGGAAAGGTTATTCCATGCAAATTTAAATTGTTCACATATTTCTAACGCCAAAGAGGCTGGTTTAATGCATGCTCTAAAAGCTTTCCATGTATTTTTATTGCTTTTCTCTTTGGAAACATTATACAAATATCCATCATTTAATTAGCGTCACGAAGAAAAAACAATTCCCTTTCTATTATGCTGCATAAAATAATCATCACAGATGGGCGTTTGTTTTTTTTTGCATTTAATTGTGAATGGAATCCCATGCTTTTACAAATATTTAGCCTTCTATATCCAGAGGCAAATGCCACCTTTTTGTTGCTATATTTCTAAAGGTTGCTAAAAGACAAACAAACAGAGCAAAACAAGCCATATTCTATTCTTGCTACAATGTACAAATAGTCCTTGACTTAACAACCATTCATTATCGACTCTTCAAAGTTACAAGGGCACCGAAAAAGCGACTTAACCACCAGTCTTGCACTCACAAATGTTGCAGCATTCCCAAGATCACATGGTCAAAATTCTGGTGCTTGGCAACCGAGTTGTATTTATGATGGCTGCAACATCCCAGAGTCGTACGATTGCCATTTCTGACCTTCCGATCCAGCTTCTGACAAGGGAGAAGCCAGATTCGCTTAATGACCAAGTGATTTGCTTAATAACAGCCATGATTTGCCTAACAACCCTGGGAAATAAAGTCGTAAAATCAGGCGCAACTCATTTACCGACCATCTTGCTTAGCAACCGAATTTCTGATCTCAACCGTGGTCGTAAGCCGAGGTTTACCCGTAGAGGAAGAACGGGATGTCCATGGGAAACGCATTGCCGTTGTAATGGGCGAGACTAGTGTTTCTCAACTGGGCAACATTAAGATGGATGGACTTCCTGTATGACTCTGGGGAATAGATGCAATTGTTGGGACAGGTCCAAATCAAAATCTTAAGGAAAAGTTTTATTATTCCGATTCAAGCAAGGATATTTGATCCTGGATGGATCAGAGGTAAGGATGGCGGTGATTTGTGGTTGATAAGAAGCTGATGTAGACCTTCTGCAAGTTAAATACAACACAGATTCTCCAAAGCCCCTGAGGGCAGGACAAGAAGCAACTGGATGGAAACTAATCAAGGAGAGAAGCAACCTAGAACTAAGGAGAAACTTCCTGACAGTTAGAACAATTAATCAGTGGAACAACCTGCCTCCAGAAGCGGTGAATGCTCCAACACTGGAAGTTTTTAAGAAGAAACTGGACAGCCATTTGTCTGAAATGGGATAGGGTTTCCTTCCTGAGCAGGGGGTTGGACTAGATGACCTCCAAGGTCCCTTCCACTTTACTATTATTATTATTATTATTATTATTATTATTATTATTATTATTATTATTATTATTATTATTATTATTATTATTATTATTATTTGATAGTCCTTGACTTACAACAGTTGGTTTAATGATTGTTCAAAGTTACAACAGCGCTGAAAAAAGTGGCTTATGACCACTTTTCACACTTAAGACCATTGTGGTATCCCCATGGTCATGGGATCCAAATTCAGAGGCTTGGAACTGACTCATATTTATGACGGTTGCAGTGTCCCAGGGTCACGTGATCCCCTTTTGCGATCTTCTGACAAGCCAAGTCAATGGGGAGCCGGATCCACTTAACGACCCTGTTACTAATTTAACAACTGCAGTGATTCACTTGACAAATGTGGCAAGAAAGGTCATAAAATGAGGCAGAACTCACTTAACAAATGTCTCACACAGCAACAGAAATTTTGTGTTCCTTAAGTCGAAGACTACCTGTGACAGATTATTTAACAGAGGGTTTTGAAGTTTAACTTTGGTGGTTAGTTTACCCATTAACTACTTTTTATATGCAGTAGATCGATGAAAGATCAAATTGGTGGCAAGCAGACTTGTAGAAGTTTACAAATTGTGGGTCTGTTTCACAAGGAGGGGAATTGTCATTGCAGCAATATACTTTTCAGAACTCAACTGGGGGGGGGGACAATGTACGTATACATGGCTTCGTCTTTTTTCTTTTCCAATGCACATTTTTTAAATGTTTTACTTAGCTTTTTGTTTTGTTTTTGTAATGTTTCTTTTTTTTTTTCCCTCCCCACCCCCCTTTGGAGTTTGTATTTTAACTTTCTGAATAACATACGAATTTACTAAAAAAAAAAAAAAGATGGATGGATGGATGGATGGATGGACTTCAACTCCCAGAATTCCCCAGCCAGCAGGCTGTATAGGTAGTCCTCGACTTACAACAGTTCATTTAGTAACTGTTCAAAGTTATAGCAGCACTGAAAAAAGGGACTTATTACCATTTTTTACACTTATGCGGCAGCCCCGTGATCACGTGATTTATATTCAGATGCTTGACAACGGACTCATGGACTTTATGGTGGCTGCAGTATCTCACGATCATGTGATTCCGTTTTGTGACTTTCTGACCAGCAAAGTCAATAAGGAAACCAGGTTCATTTAACAACTATGTTGTTGTTGTTGTTGTTGTTATTATAGCCTATCCCAGGTCCTTGGGAAGGACTCGATAGGTAGACAAAAATGCCAAATCCAGTCTGAACATCTGGCTGACTGTGCGATGATCAATAATAATAATAATAGAGTTGGAAGGGACCTTGGAGGTCATCTAGTCCAACCCCCTGCTCAGGTAGGAAACCCTATACCATTTCAGACAAATGGCTGTCCAGTCTCTTCTTAAAAACTTCCAGTGTTGGAGCATTCACCGCTTCTGGAGGCAGGTTGTTCCACTGGTTAATTGTTCTAACTGTCAGGAAATTTCTCCTTAGTTCTAGGTTGCTTCTCTCTTTGGTTAGTTTCCCAATTTAATTTAACAACTGCAGTGATTCAGTTAACAAATGTGGCAAGAAAAGCTGTAAAATGGGGCAAAACTCACTTAACCAATGTCTCACTTAGCAGCATAAATTTTGGGCTCAGCTGAGGTCGTAAGTCGAGGTCTACCTGTATATTGAAGTCCACATATTGCCAAAGTTGAGAAACGCTGATTCAGACATTTGGTTTGGGGAGACTCTCGGTCAAATCCCACCTTGACTCAAGAGCTGGCAGAGTAATACTAGACTGATCAATCTCACCCACATCATTTTCATAGGATTGCTGCTGTGGGAATATATTTAGAGGACCACCATGGGGGTCCTAGAAAAAAAAATCATATAATGCAATGAATAAAATCAACAAGGAATGAAAAATGATCGAAAACAATAAGAATTTTTTAAAAGCAGGTCTACATTTGGAATTTTCAGATGTTGCTCTCCAGGTAGTCTTGATATCTCTCTTTTTAATGACTTTCAGCATCAGATCGAACTTGCTCCACCCCAACTGCTCTGTAAAAACTGATCAAACGCTGAAGTAAAAATTCTCTAATGATGTGAGATGTTTTGTAGGACAGCAGCAAAGCAACAATATAGCAGCAACCCATCGAGAACCAAAGCAAAGGTTTAAAATCCTAGAGGCCCAGCAAAAGAATTATTTTGCTCCCTGCTTGCAAAACCACGGAAGGAGATCAGCAGAATCCTAGTTTCTAGAATTCAGAATTACAGCTCAGAAGAAATCAGATTCTCATAAACGAATCAATGATCTGAGATACTTCAAGAAATCTGCAGTCAATTATTAGTTGGAGAATCCTATTTCGGTACATAAATTGAATCATCATCATGGTCATTGTGAACTTACCCCACAGACCTCAGAGCAACATGGATGGCATTCTCCCTATTTTATTAGCTCCCCAACTCTCCTGCGAGGTAGGTCGTGTTGATAGCCAGACAGGTTGGCTTCTGGATGGCTATTTCCCCAGGCCACACTAAGGTGCAAACTAGCCAGCCCGCATTTTAGCCTAGTGTGTTTTGTAAAACCTAGCCCACATTTTCTTTACAAAGAATCCCTCTGTAATTTATATCTACCACTTACAAGCAGTGCTTAAAATATTGGTTGTACTTTTTTTTTTTAAAAAAAAATGCATTTTATTTATGGATCAGATTTATATAGTTGCCCATCTCACCGAAGTTGACACTGGGCAACTTTTCCTCCCAAACCAGGGAAGGTCCAACAAGAATTGAAAGTTCTGTGTGCCTCTGGTTGAGCATTTGAGACATTTTAAAATGCTTCGGAGGTGTCCATTTTCCCTAGCATTGCTTTTATAATGTTTTACATTTTTAAAGTGGGAGAAGAAGCAGTGCAAAAGACACAGAGAGGCCAGCTTTCAAAAAAAGATGTTCTACTAAAGAAAGAAAACAAAACCCGTATCTCCAAAAACAGCCCAGTTCGAAGTAGCCCTATTCGAAGTAAAAAAAGAGAAAAGTTTTGGTGCAAGTACACCATGTGATCGTCCTGCCTTCGCCTTGAAGGTTTCCTTCTGATGTCCCCACAATGTAATTAGTTTATGCTATTCTGTTGAAAAGTGTCCGATGGTAGTCTGCTGAACCTTTCAACAGAGCTAGTGAGACTTGTGGAACATTCTGTTCACACACAACAGCCTCGTACGGAGGAGCGGAGTCTGTTGGCAAGGACGACGACGAGGCCGCAGAAGGTTGATGCAGGTCCTGTATCCTAACCAAACCTTCAGAATCCCTTCCCATTGTTGTACTGGTAGATCCCCTTTCCTCCAACGGGTTGTTGATAGACACATCATTCTGCTGACAAGGGTCTATCAGAGAATAAGGTGGAGGATCTTCTGTTGGAAGATAGATTTGGGCTGCTCCAGGCCCAACACATTCATCGTACCTGAAAGAAAGCACAACCACTAGTGTAGTTCTTAGGCCAATCCATCCATTCAAAACAACAGCATACCGACATCCATTCGGAAGGGAAGTAAGAGATAACAGAATTGAAATCAACTGATACAGTAGGTGAAGCCAAAATTTAAATACGTTTTACGCTACAAAACCAATTCTTTCCTGAACTGGAAACTCTTTTTCAAAGAACAAGAATCTTTAAAGGAAGTTGCCATGCTTAATGTAAAGAAGAGAGGGCTGCTAATTAAATGCAGACCCCCATCGAGCATTAATTATAATAACTGAAATAATAAATAGATTGAGCACTGACGATGTTACCTAGTTTGGTAATAAAACGTTTGCTAGAAAATAACCAAGCTCAGAGAGAGCACCAAGGACATCTCATTTCAACCTTGAGCTACAAATATTCTCCTTTATCCCTAATAAATAAATAGCTTTGCTATTTTGTGGTTGTGACTCTTCTTGTCTATTTTTTTTGTTCTTAACTCTGTTTTTATTCTATTTTAATTGTGAGCTACCCAGAGGAAATGGTTGATCTATATGTTTACCAAATAAATACACAGATAAATAAACAAGTCTGAGTCTTTACACAGGGTAGCCAAATAGAGTCTGTCTGCTTATTTTGTTTTGTTTTTGTTTTAAAAAAAAACCTCTCTGTATCTGCTCTTTCTAAAATACTAACTCTAAAATAGATCTGACATGTTTCCAGTGAATTTGGGTCCCCAGGAAATCCATTAAGAGAAGAAGGATATTTATGGATATTACTTTTGATTTACCCTTTCAAGAAAAATAGACTAGAGTGGTTCCATCTGAATGCTTTGGCAGAATCCTGATGAAGGAAAACAGGAAGAAAAAAAAAAAAAGCAGAATAATCCCAAATGCAATCTGTAGACTCGTATGAGAACCGATTAGGGAAACATTTAGAGAGATAATCACATTTAGTTGCAAATGAGATTTCTGTAGCTCGTACATCAAAGCAATTAAGTTATTAATGTCCCGAAGGCATCTTTCATAAATGAATGTCCTAATTAGAATTGTATATAAATAGTTTTTCTGCCCTGTATAGCCTTCAAAATTTTAAACGAAGAACAGCCACCCACCAAAAATGGGATCCGGCTTCACTTTATTGGTTAGGAGTGCAAGTTAATTGATTCCCAGAAGATTCGGTCTCAGGTGCTGATGTTGTGTTCAGCTATAATGGCTGCCTTGTTTGACCTCTATGCCCTTTTCCCAAACGGGTGCCTTCCAGATTTATTTTATTTATTTATTTATTTTTTAATTTGTATACCGCCCTTCTCCCATAGGACTCAGGGCGGTTCACAGCATAATTAAAAAACAAATACTATACATAAAAATAAAAAATACAAAAAATACAACAATATAAACCCCAATAAAACCAAATTAAAAACCAAATATTGACAGCTGTGTTTCAATTAAAATGCTTCTAAAATCATCCCTACCTAAAATCCTCCCTAGGTCAGGCCCGCTTGCTGGAAAAGCCATGTCTTGAGGGCGCGGCGGAAAGTAAGGAGATCCGGAATCATCCGGATCTCGGGGGGCAGTTCGTTCCAGAGGGTGGGGGCACCCACAGAGAAGGCNAGCGACGAGTCCCTCCCAACACCGCCCGCGCGGCCGCATTCTGGACCAGTTGGAGTCTCCGGGTGCTCCTCAAAGGGAGCCCCATGTAGAGAGCGTTACAGTAGTCCAGGCGGGAGGTGACGAGAGCATGAGTGACTGTGCGCAAGGCGTCCCGGTCCAGAAAAGGCCGCAACTGGTGAATCAGGCGAACCTGATAAAAATGATGGGGGATGCTAAACCCAGAATTGCTGAAAGCCCCTTTCACCTGATACAAACTTTATTGGGCATGTGTATGGCTCTGGGCAAGCGTTGGCAATTTGTATTTCATTCTGGACGAAACATAATTTAAAAATCTACATATGCTCCCATCTTCCACATTACATTCAGTTCCATTTCAAGTACTGATCATGGTTCAGCGGAGCGAAAAAACCCCAACCATGCCATCAAAAATCTCAGACGCATGTCTGAAAATGATTCTTTTAGAACCCCATTAAACCTGGCTGCCATGGGAATTCTGGGAGTTAAAGTCCCCATATCTTAAAGTTGCCAAAGTTGAAAAACGTGGTTTTATAATTTCTTGTGTTAAATGTGCCTAACGGTTGTATTTTATGGTTGTTGGCCATCTTTAACTCTCTGGAAAGGAGCAAAACAGTGGAATAATTATATTATTCAGAACAGAACATTAGAATGTGAAAAGGTGTTTGTCCTCAGTTATTCTTTATACTGATTTTCGACTGTATTCTACAAACTTCATTTTTCACACCCCTTAACTTGGGGCGATTACAGAGCAAAACAAATGAGAACATTTGCTATCCTAACGTGGTAACACAAGAGGAAAAGAAACAACCTGACATCTATCACAGGAAGCCTCCTTCAGCATACCATAAAGAGGTCATTGTAATTCATTCGTCCATATTGTTTTGTACCTAATAACCTTGGAACAAGCCTCCTGGATCTCAGTAGGGTTTACTTCTGAACTGACATCATGTAGGATCAGCATGTAACTCAACATGTAAGACACCAAAGTAAAGGCAGAGGGAGAACTGAAGAGAACTGGGGGTCTTAATTCAATCTCCCACCACAGAGCAGGTTTTTATCTCCGAGATCTACAGCTGGTTTGAAGAAGTCCAGTTTGAAGAACTAGAGAACTGTAATATATTGAGGTGTTCAATTCACTGCCTTTGGATCTGTTACAGAGGGGGGGGAAATACTGCAATGAAATGGAGATGCTAAACTTTCAGTAGCACAACACGGAAGGCTTGGCACCTGGAAGAGGAAAATGGTGGATGCAAAATTGAGGAACCATCACAACCCTACAATGAATGGGGGAAGGAAAGAAGAAGGAGGTTTGGGAGAAGAGGGTGAGAGAAAGGCTGAAACCTGGAAGATTACTGGAGATGGCAATTGGCAGCCTGGCCTGGAGGACTTAGAAGAATGCTAGCTGGTAAAAACAAAAGCTGTACTTCCTAGATACTCTTACCAGTTAAGCAGATGGACAGCTTCCCACTTAGGCTGCAGGAAGAGAATGGAAAGGTTGCAAAAAGCGCTGGTTTATTGGGCCTCTGGCCAAGAGTTGAATTTGCTTCCTGTAATTAAGTTAGTGGGAGAAAATCTGTATCTTTCACCCCTTGAGAACAGAGCATAGTAGACTCTGCAAATTACTGGAATGAAGTACTGCTTAAATAAAAAGGACTTGAGAAGAGACAAGGCACCCTTGCTTCTACACTAGGGAATATGAAGAAAAAGGAGGGCTGACCAAGCTCCTTCTGCCAGACTTCAAGCTGCAGGCAGGATTGGATCTAATGAAATGAAGTCTTAAGAATCCAAGAAGAGTAGAGATAGATAGATAGATAGATAGATAGATAGATAGATAGATAGATAGATAGATAGATAGATAGATAGATAGAGCCGTAATGAAGGAATATCATACCCATCATATCCAAAATGGCCATCCAATCATATATCGGTGGATACTAACATACCATATTATACCTGGCTAATAAAAATGTTACACAAATACACAATGACAAATCTACCCAACATCTCAGCTCCATTTCCTCAACTAGGAAATAGAGATAAGCACTACCCCGTAGAATCAGATGTGACTGGATAGGGTAAACCAGGGGTGTCAAAAGTACCGGTCCATGGGCCGGATGCGTCATGCCAAAACTGCGCCAACCCCATTGCTGGCAATGGGAAAAAAAGTTGTGATACGTCGCAACACGTCATGTGTGTGACGTTGTGAGTTTGACACCCCTGGGGTAAACCTTTGCCTTTTTCAACCTTTTAAAAAGTATTATAAATAGAAAAGAAATTTACCGTGGTGGCGAGTCTGGGTGTAAGATGTTGGCCTGGGAAAGTGTCTCCATGTAAGAGCTAAAGTAAAATGTTGGCGGGAATTCCTCAGCACAGTTGGATCTTAGCTCTCCGACAGAACCGCCGTAAGAAAAACAGTCTGGAGCTGGGGGGAAAGAAAAGTAACACTAGCACCGTTCCAAAAGGTGGACTAAACAAAAGTTGGAGACAACCTTGGAAATTCTAGATCACAAATATTTAGGATGTATCCAGGGATGCAACTGTTAGGATGAAAGTGAGGGCTATGGAAAGGAAGGCTGGAAATATTTACATCTCGTATTAGAGGTAGTCCTTGACTTATGACTGCAAATGAGCCCAACATTTCCATTGCTAAGTTGTTAAGGGAGTTTTGCCCCATTTTACGATCTTCCTTGCCACAGTTTGTTAAGTCAATCACTGCAGCTGTTAGTAACATGGTTGTTAAACGAATCTAGCTTCCCCATTGACTTTGCTTGTCAGAAGGTTGCAAAAGGGGGGTCACGTGACCCCAGGACACTGCAACTGTCATAAATACAAGTCGGTTGCCAAGTGTCTGAATGTTGATCATGTGAACATGGGGATGCTGCAAGGGTTGTGAGCGTGAAAGCTGGTGACAAGTCACTTTTTCCAGTGTAGTTGTAACTTTGAACAATCACTAAATGGCTGCAAGTCAAGGACTGCCTTCCTTGAATTCCTAATTTTAATGGTACTATTAGTGAGAAAAAAGAAAAAAAAATATAGAAGACTCTCTTACTGTAGCTGGCATCGCTCCACAGCTGGAGATGCCGAAAGCACTGATTTTTTCGCAGACTGCCAATCAGGATGGCCACGCAGGATAGAAACAGGACCACTCCGATGACTACGCCAGCCACAAGCACTGACGAATCCAGCATAATAGTGCCTCCGCGGGTTTCTGTGCAGTGAGTAATCTCGCTGATGAAGTTGCTATGGTTCAGGTGGATTTCTATGTAGCAGTGAGACAGAAAGAGTCACGGTTGAAGAGATCTTACAAATCAACAGCCAATTTCAAATGTATATTTCCAGATAAATCTTTGGGGTTTATAGGTGAATTGTAGGAGATGACTAGGCTGAGTCCGAAGGAGGGGTCAAACGCCTCATCAGTCTTGAGTATCTTCATGCCCACAAGAGATCTTAAGTCCAGCCCACCTTGAATTCCTTTGACTCTTATTCTACCTCCAATTTACTTTGATTGTTAGTAATTCAGATTGTTGTAGAGAGGTTTAGCGTGCAACAAACCTATATATATATTCATTTGAACTGCATAGACTCTTGATTTCCTATGTTTGACATGAATGGATAACATCCCATCAGCGTCAGTCAACGCAATCATCAGGACTACAGCATTGCTGGATTGTTGCAATTCTCTCCATCCCTGATCACAGGGTTATGTTGGTGAGAATTAGTAGGATTTACAATCCAGTAATATCTGGCTATGAATGAAATCCTGGTTCCCATCATGACTTGGGTTGAGTTCTCTTTACAGTTTTTTTTAGTTGCCTAATTGTCAAGCATACATCTCCTGGAAGTGGTCTCAGTTACTTGCTCCCTTTAGGCCAAGAGACAGTTGTTAGTGTCACACATCATATTAAGCCATACACTTATGTTTATATATCACAATGGCTGGCTTTGGGCATCATGCAAAATTAAAGCTGCAGTTTGGATGGAGGTGGATTCACACCTTATGCTAAATTGAAGCCCACCACAAGAGAGTTTAGGCTGACACATGAATTAGGGGTCTCTGGCGACTTCTCAGTGCCTCTATCCATACAGTGTCCAGTCTCAATATATAACTGATAGCGTGCTGTTGTTGTTAAGTTCTTGAACTAAAATACTCAGACAGAATAACAATAACAGAGTGGGAAGGAAACCCTATATAATTTTCTTAAAAACCTCCAGTGTTGGGGCAAAAATAACCAAGATTGGTTTGGTACATTCAGGCATATTAAATGGGTTAACAGAAGCCAAATCTTCTAGGATTTTTGGACATTTTTTCCTTCAGTGCAAAATGCTGGCCTGTTCTTTTCTGACAGCCGACATTGCCTTTTATTTTTTGCTGCAACTATTTGATAACAGGCTCTGCCATGTGCACTGACATTCTTATTAAAGAGTCAGAAGGAATCAGACTGGATCACTACTGACCTGCATACTCAGAATATCAGAAGCGAAGGAAAAGTGCCAGGAAAAGAGGTCAAGAAATAAATTGTTTCAGATATTTGTGCCTTTGGGGCATTGCGTAGATGTCACAGCCACTTGTAAATGTGCTATTTCAAATTAGCAGGTAAACACATGTAGGCTTCTTATTCTTCACACCGCCAATCTGTTTTATCAACATGATAAATTCCACTGGCGTGAATGAAATTGCCTGGGTGGGAAGCAAGCATGAGACGTATGTCACCAGCTATAGCATTAACTGGGACAGGACTTCAGGATTCTCAGCCATGCCAGGAAGCAGATTGTATACTCGGCTTACCACCACAATCTAGCCCAAAGTTTCTGCTGCTAAGCAAGGCAGTTAAGTGAGTTTTGCCCCATTTTACAACCTGTTCTTGGCATGGTTGTTGAGTGAATCTGGCTTCCCCACTGACTTTGCTTATCAGAAGGTTGCAAAAGGTGTTCACAATCCTCGGGACCCCGCAACTGTCATAAGTACGTGCCAGTTGCCAAGGGTCTGAATTTTGATCACATGATTGTGGGGTTAGGATGCTGCGACGGTTGGTTAGGAAAAATGGTCATAAGTCACTTTTTTCAGTGCCATTGTAACTTTGAATGGTGACTAAATAAATGGTTGTAAGTCAAAGCCTATCTGTATTCCTAACCAAGATCTAGCTCCCCATACAGCACTAAACTATGTATGACCTAGTAAGTATAGTGGCCTGGATTCAAATATTATGGTAAGATTTGTTTTGCAGACCAAATTGGCTTGGTTGAATCAAAGCTTATTGGCTATGCACAAAGACCTGCATTTGTACCAACCTCTAATCCACAAACTCTGGTTTAGAAATCATACCAGCCGTGAAGACAAACACAGCACTTTATAGTATGTTATTGCTTAATCTTTCAGCCAAACACAATCACTGCATGGATTTCTCACATTGTGCTAAACTCTGCACCTGGTCAGCTGAACAAATCACAAGTGTGTGAGTTCGTACATGTGAAGCCAGGAACATGGCAACCATACCACTTCTTTGTACAATGTTTGAATTCAGTTAAGATAGATTTTTCCATCATTGTCTGGAAGTGGATGATATTTGTGAGGCTGAAACATGATCCTGACTTACTGTGGCTGCTGTTTTTCCCTTTAATGCATTTAACGTGTTCTAAAAATAAATGAGCCTCAAATATAAGCCAGCCAAATTTTATAACAACCTGCTCTACTTCTTTCAAAGTATATATAAAAAAATACATACAGCCATCTCTTATTACAGGTGATGTTACCAAGCCAACCCTAATCTGGCAAGAAATGTATTTATTTCATTCATCATCTTTAAATAAAGCCATGCCTCTCTTTTACTGGTGGACTAGCCAAGCAACCTACATGGCGAGGCAGGAACTGGTCTTAGTGGAGAGGAACAGGAAGGATTTACTAATCGCTTATCTGAAACAAGATTATTCTACTTTATTGCAATAGTGCTTGTACACCAGGCTAAGCACTATTGCAATAGTGCTTGTACACCAGGCTAAGCCATGCTTACTCTTGATTTGTTGATTAATCCCCAGTGGGTCGATTCAATACCAAACCATAAATTATATTTTCAAATCCAACATGCCAGTTTCAAGCCAACCCAATGGCATGAATGGCTAAGAAAAGAACTGTATGTACTAGGAACTATAGGTATCTTATGATTAAAGCTACATTTTTTGAAAGTTTACTTCGGGCTAGATTTTAAACAAAGCAGTGCAGCCTAAGAAAGAAAGTCCTCTTGGATTTGAAAGAAAACACTGCAACGAGAGCGCATTGGACAGAGGCAAAACTAGGTTTTCCACTCAAGCTGTCTTTTAGCAGCGTAATAGGAAAATGGAGTGTTTGGCAGGCAGAAGGAAATGGTTAAATAAATGAGTCTAGTGGTTAGGGAAGAGATAAGAAACTTTTTTCAAATGTTGAAAGCATCTAGTTGGCCTACTCACTATATGGCTACTATGGGAGCTTTACTTGTCCAACAGAGGGCCAGTTTGGTGTAGTAGTAAAGGCACCAAGCTAGAAATTGGGAGACTGTGAGTTCTAGTTCCACCTTAGACACAAAGACAGTCACTGGGCCAGCCACTGTCTCTCAGCCCTAGGAAGGAGGCAGTGGCAAACTGCTATGAAAATCCTGCCAAGAAAACTTCAGGGACTAGACCAGGCAGTTGCCAAGAGTCAAAAAGTTGAAGACATGCATATATGCACAAACACACACACACACACACACACACACACACACACACACACACACACACACACACACCTCTATACCTATTCAAAAAGAAATGCTATGGTAAGAACTCAACATCTAAGTTCATAAAGACAAATGATCTTGCCAAGTGAAACTTTTCTGACAAAATAAACATGATGCTGGAGGCTGTCGACTTTTTGTTTAATTTTGAAATTAAAAATATCTCTAAAAAAGAACAGTCAGGTAGGGAAGGCAGTGTGCTGGTGCTTAAGGACTCCATGTTACTTAAAACCATTGGCCAAAATATTGAATGGGTTTGGAGAAAGCAAGACTGCAACAATAAAGAAATTTGGAATTGTAAGCCAGCCAGACTCATTGATTGAGATGGATAGCTATAGAAATGGAAATGAATGAATGAATGAATAAATAAATAATAATAACAACAACAATAATAATAATGGTAAAGTTGGAAGGGACCTTGGAGGTCATCGAGTCTAACCCCCTGCTCAGGCAGGAAACCCTATACCATTTCAGACAAATGGCTGTCCAGTTTCTTCTTAAAAACTTCCAGTGTTGGAGCATTCACCGCTTCTGGAGGCAGGTTGTTCCACTGGTTAATTGTTCTAACTGTCAGGAAGTTTCTCCTTAGTTCTAGGTTGCTTCTCTCTTTGGTTAGTTTCCATCCATTGCTTCTTGTCCTGCCTTCAGGCGCTTTGGAGAATAGCTTGACTCCCTCTTCTTTGGGGAAGCCCCTGAGATATTGGAACACTGCAATAAAAGCAAGCAAGCAAGTTTGCTTGCTTCCTTGCTGGAGGAGTTATGCCTATTATAGCTGAATCATAAAGTATTAAAGTAAACCTTTCTGCAGGCTGCCTCAAATGCCATTCGTGGATGGACTGGCAGGGCATCAGTTATAATTAAATAAACAAGCACAAGCAAATTATAACATGATGCCCCAGCTTTGCAGACATGCTTATAATACTTCCTGGACCCAATGCAACCTGACAGTTCTAATGACCCCAATTCCCTCTGCTGCTGTTGCCAGGATCCTTCTGAGATCTGCCTTCACATTTCCTTTATATCAATCTGTTCCCGGTTCAAATACAATTTTCATCCTCAGCTTTTCAATCAAATGCTTAATGAAAAGATAAGCGTGGTCAAGGTGCAGATGGCCAGCAGAAGTGAAAAAAAAAGTTTTATGCTCATTAGCAGAGGTTCAAAGGAGACAATTCCAGGAAATACTGCTGTTATCTTGAAATAACCGGGAGAGGAGGGATCATTTCTTCCAGAGAAAAACAGACCCTTTATGCCAAATTAGGGGATAGGCAACATTTAGAATTGTTCTAAAATCAGGTTTGTCACAGCATAACTTTCCAAATTTGGAGATATGACTCCAGCACAACAAAATGAGGCATGATATGGCCTGTAAATTAAGATAATTAAGTTTTCTTAAATGAGCTCCTGTGTCACAAGCTTCTTTATAAATAAGAAAATAGCAAAAA